GGTAGAGTTTTGAGGAGAGTCCTTAAAATTCTGAGTTGAGGACATTGCAATATCTCAAAGTACGTCCCCCTCTTTGATTCAAAATTTATTTGTTTTATGAATCATCTCATATTTCGAACAAAATACATTTTTATATAACGATTTATCACAAATGCATATTTTTTGAAAATTTTATTTTTTTCTGTAGTAGCCAGATGTTACCCAGGATAACTCAAACAAGGCCTTAATACAAGGAGCAAAGACGAAATAAGAATCAAAGGAACAAACCAACCTTCCCTAAAAACTCACAATTTTTCGTTAGATGCAGGAACGAGGGACATAACAAATGTTCGCAAAATATATACATACAACAAGATCACTACCTTCACATCGACAGAAGTTGCCAAACTCAAACGCGCTAAGCTAAGAATCACTTTTCCCCCTCTCACACATAATCGTTGCTCTCCCTTCATAGGACTAAACACTGCCCTCATCATTGCATATGGCCAAGCACTGTCTTTCACTGTTGAGACTAAACATTGTCTCCATTACATTGCATGAGGCTAAGCACTGCCTCCATTATTGCATAAGGCTAAGCATTGTCTTTCCTTGCATGAGACTAAGCACTGTCTTCACTATATTGCATGAGGCTATGCACTACCTCCATTATTGCATAAGGCTAAGCATTGCCTTCCCTTGCATGAGACTAAGCACTGTCTCCACTATATTGCATGAGGCTAAGCACTGCCTTCATTATTGCATAAGGCTAAGCACTGCCTTCTCTTGTATGAGACTAAGCATTGTCTCCATTCTTTGCATGAGGCTAAGCACAATCTCTGTCATTGCATAAGGCTAAACACTTCCTTCATTCACATAGGGTTAATCGCTGCCCTCATTATCTGTATAGGGCTAAGCACTGCATAGGGGTATGCATTCGAATCGGTTTATCGATAAATCGAATCGATTATTTGTTATCGGTTTGTCGATATCTGTTTATCGATTTCGATTTCGATTTCAAAATTTTCCTTATCGAGTTATTGATTTCGATTTCGATTTTGTCCTTTACAGTTATCGATTTATCGATAAACCGATAAGATACTAAAAAGAATTTTTTTACCCTTATTCTATAATACCCTTTCCTTTACCCTATGTCCCTAACCATATTATTTCCTCTACCACATTTAATGAATGATCATATTTAAAGCTCAAGGGAATGAAATTCAAATTAATGAAAAACAGAATTAGCCGTGATGATGTATTTTGTTTTTTAATACCGTTGGAGTGTTGGTGGCATACATTTGATCCCTTAATTTAGTTTCTTTGCATGTGCTTGTTGACATAATTTTTATGTCATAAATGGTGTTCGTCTTATTTTAGCTTCTTTTTGTCCATATTAGTTAGGCGTGTTTATAGCGATATACTTTCTGTGGAATCCCGCAAATTTTCTTATTGGTTTAATCAATAACCGAATCGATAAGGCCCAAAAATCTATAAATCGAAATCGAAAAAATTGAAACCTTATTGAAACGATAACGATAAGCATATGTACAAATCGATAATCGATAATGGTCAAAATCGAACCGATAAATCGAATGCACACCCCTAGGTATGCTAGTGTTCCCAATCCAAGGGGACAAAATCCACACCAGACTGGCCATGATGGACAAAACTTTGATGGATGGGATCGAGGGGCAGACATATACCATTGTCCCTATGATCATTGCAGATATGTACCAGGTCCTGGAGTGCTGTTAGAAAGGGTACAAACACTTTGAGGGTTGCAATTTGCTGTTGCAGGTTTGGTTGTTAGAACATCTCCAAAGAGGTCAATACCGCCAAGAGTTTCCACGAAGGCCATGAAATGATCACATAGCTTTCCCCCATCCCAAGAAAATGACCTATATCCCAGATATGTTTGCTCAACCAAAGGATACTATTGGATGGGTGTAGTTTTTCAACAATTTGACCGAGGACCAGGTTCAATGGATGTTCGAGTGGTTCCCTACCACGAATTCATCATTAGATCCAGGGATGTTCCACACTTGGTACTCATCGGGTTAAGGGGCATATACCCTTATGATCCCCTTAGGGTTATGAGACAAGCAGGCAAGAAGCAAGTAATACCGCGAGTTGCTAAAATGAGTCACTTCATAGCCAATTTTTAGTGTGACACCATTCCATATAAAAATGAAGCACATCACATGTGGCACTTAAAGATTATCATGGAAAAGGATACCATCGAGATGGATCGGTATCACACCGGTCACATGTACGTTTACCCTTCATGGTTGGATGATAACATAGGGGGAATATTCGAGCCAAGGGTTGGACCAGAAAATAGGGTCATAGACGAAGTTGCCGAAGCATAGGTGAAGTATAACAAATTGCGTAAAAGAGTTCGCGAGTCTGAAGCGGAGAATATGGAGCAACATAAGGCCTATATAGAAATGATCAATGAGTGAAAAGAGAGGACTATTAAATCCAGCAAAAGTCAGGAATATCTGGAGTACATTCTGATTGAATTGGATTGGAAAATCAGGAAGAGAGTCACCGATTTCCAGAACGCTGAGGGAAACGAAGGAGGACATTTGGCAAGGGCATTCTTACTGCTGAACCTACGCGAACTGGGGGATCTTATTGACAAGGGCATCCAGCCTGGAGAAGGTCCTTCTGGGACCAAATATATTAGGTTTACTTGCTTTTCAAATGTAATAAGGCCAAGTGCCATTAATGACTTATCTTATTTTAGTGTCGTTTTGGGTCATCTATCTTTACATTAATGAAATGAGGCAATTATTGTCACTGAATTTCTCCAAATCTATTTGTCGCTAGGCCTAACTCGAGCACAATGAGGCTCCCAAATCAGGACGTGAATTTACATTCCCGCAATATGTGTTTAAATACTACAAACTTTTCAGAATCCTTACTGACTTGTTTACCTTTTATTTTTCTCTATTTTTATTTATTCCCATCCCCTAAGGTTGGTTCGCACATACTGGCATCATCAGAATATCACACCAAATCTAGAGGCCCTCCACCTCCTCCTCCTCCAAGTAATACGAAAAGTAGAGGAAAAACTAAGATGGATGACTTGAGCGGTATTTGAAAGGAAAACGCTGAGAATGTGGAACCTTCAGACTGTTGGAGTACTCCGACACAAAATGACTTAGTTTTGCGATTGGAACAAAAGATACTGGAGTTACAAGGAGAACTTGAGCAGGTCCGCATCTTAGCAAACCTCTCCCTCACTCTGAATGTCCCAGACATTAACCAACAAAACCTAGCACCTCCTCAAAATACGCCAAACCAACGTCCACAAAATCCTCCCACACCCCATCAATATAAAGATCCACCTCAAAACCCCAATCCTTTACCGATAGGGAAATTACATAAGTTGGCACCCGAACTATGGCCTAAATCCCGCTTACACACTTTCTGTGGACCATAGTAACATTACACACGCAACCTTTCTAAAGTGTGCCTAGTACACACCTTCTTTGACCAGGTCTAAGCGTGTGTAATACAAACTGGACCAAGCGCGTGGACACTATTTCAAGACAATTTATGTCTTTAATAAATGGTCAAAAACACATTCCAATGACCCTTTTTAAAAGATTAAAAGGGCCTTAACCCATTTCTATCTATATACTAACCCGATTTTAATCTTCTTCTTCCTCCTTGAAAGCTTTAAATTGAAGAAAATTTTATCTTCTTGTAGCCAAAATTTATTCCTCTTCTTGAAGCTCGAAGCCAACATTACAGTCTTCTTCTATTTCTTCCTTCTCTTTTTTGACATAAGGGTTAAATTTCTAGGGCTCAATTTTAAGATTTGGGAAAATGCATAATCTGAGAAAATTTTGCTATTGTGGTGAAGAAGCTGTGGTGATACAGTCATGGAGTGTTGATAATCCGGGTCGTCGATTTTACGGATGTCCATTT